AACTCCCGCATGAAATTGAGCACTGAGGGCGCGAAACTCAACAGAGCCTGAAACACAAGTCTCCTCCAGGCACCGAACGGCTCACTCACCGAAGCAAATGACTAGGACATGAGCATGATATGCAGCTTGAAATTGCTCATACTCGGTTTGCATAGATAAGGTAGTTTGGTGGTATTACGTTTACTGTACGTTCAAGTCAGCAAGCCAGAGTCAACCCAACCGGACCAACAAACCCACCGAGCGCAATCACACTGGGGCCACCAGGCCCTCAGTCATGAGCTTTGTCTTGGCTGTCATGTGCCAGTCCTGTCGGGCGGAAAGACCCTCACTTGGCTGCATTTCTTTGGCATCCATATCTGATTAAACCACAGGTTATCATGGTTGGGTAACCTAGCAATATGTGCAGATTCTGGCCCATACTTAGCCTACAATTCCAACCAAATTTGGAGGAACTCCAGCTCAGAAAAATAAATCCCAACTGAGCATTCGAGACTCAATTGTCCTGGCCCAATCTCTGCCAGCTGTCCGCAAGTTCGTGTCATATCAACTGTCAAGCTGGCAAGGTGGTGGGTGCTCGAGGAAAAACAACTCTGCAAACAGCAAACAGTACTCCGTATTTACCGGGGAATCAAAGAAATTTCAGGGTTTCTTCGGTGCGAAACGAACAAAACATGCGCCCACCAGGGAAGCAGCGACCCGCGTTCTCCAGTGCCGCGTCCTCGGAGATGAAATCCGGATCCCAGCCTCTCCGAGGCGAGCTGAAGGGTTGAGAGCTGAAGAGCCCAATCCCAAAACCCGGAAGGTCATTCCCTACCTCTCGCACCAGCAAGCTGCTTTCGGGGAGAAGGCCGCCCTTGAGCTTATTGATTTGAAGGGTAAATTAACACCACATCCATGTTTACTAGGTCCTCCAGTAGAAAGGATAGAATAAGGGTACCCTATTTTCTGTAGTCTATTGTAGTAGGGGAACCCTCCCCCAAAAAAGAAACGGTAAAAGGGCACGGTCTTGGAGCCCCTCGCCCAGCTTGATTCCCAGTGTTTACCCACCAGATTTCGATGGCATCCCCTTCAAAAAAATCCCAAAAAGGGTGTTCCAACAGGAGTGCTTGAAAAGTACCCCATATTAAAAGTTGGAGGGGGGGAACTCGAGGGTGGCGGCATCAATCTTGGAAACATGCTACAGGGGCTTAACCGAACCCGACCCACAACTGTGCATGGGTGGGGCCGTCTCAGAGCCGGTGGGTCACGTTGAAGCGAAAGGATGTCAAGCTGTGCCTTCCCTTGAAACATGGCGTGAGCCATCAAACACCTATGCCTGGTGGACAAAAGGATTGCTAGGTCCTCCAGTAGAGAGGATAGAATAAGGGTACCCTATAATCTGTAGTCTATTTTAGTAGGGGAACCCTGCCCCAAAAAAGAAACGGTAAAAGGGCACGGTCTTGGAGCCCCTCGCCCAGCTTGATTCCCAGTGTTTACCCACCAGATTTCGATGGCATCCCCTTCAAAAAAAACCCAAAAAGGGTGTTCCAACACAAGTGCTTCAAAACTACCCCATATTAAAAGTTGGAGGGGGGGAACTCGAGGGGGCGGCATCAATCTTGGAAACATGCTACAGGGGCTTAACCGAACCCGACCCACAACTGTGCATGGGTGGGGCCGTCTCAGAGCCGGTGGGTCACGTTGAAGCGAAAGGATGTCAAGCTGTGCCTTCCCTTGAAACCTGGCGTGAGCCATCAAACACCTATGCCTGGTGGACAAAAGGATTGCTAGGTCCTCCAGTAGAGAGGATAGAATAAGGGTACCCTATTTCCTGTAGTCTATTTTGGTAGGGGAACCCTCCCCCAAAAAAGAAACGGTAAAAGGGCACGGTCTTGGAGCCCCTCGCCCAGCTTGATTCCCAGTGTTTACCCACCAGATTTCGATGGCATCCCCTTCAAAAAACTCCCAAAAAGGGTGTTCCAACAGGAGTGCTTGAAAACTACCCCATGTTAAAAGTTGGAGGGGGGGAACTCGAGGGGGCGGCATCAATCTTGGAAACATGCTACAGGGGCTTAACCGAACCCGACCCACAACTGTGCATGGGTGGGGCCGTCTCAGAGCCGGTGGGTCACGTTGAAGCGAAAGGATGTCAAGCTGTGCCTTCCCTTGAAACATGGCGTGAGCCATCAAACACCTATGCCTGGTGGACAAAAGGATTGCTAGGTCCTCCAGTAGAGAGGATAGAATAAGGGCACCAACTTTTTTTCTGTAGTCTGATTTGGTAGGGGAACCCCCCCAACCAAAAAAGCTAGCTGGGGGACAAAGGATTGGGTGGTTCCTTTGTCCCAAAACCCCTTGCGGTTGCCTTGTCGAGTTCCCGTCCTTGCCGCCTCGCCTTTAAAAAAACTTGGCGGTTGTCGCCCAAATGTCTCTCGGCAAAAGCACGGAGGCAACCCACACACTTTTCTGAGATGAAACCCATTTGGAGACACATAAAACCATGGGAACGTGGGCTTCCCACACATTTTCGTGGTAACCCTGGACACAAATAGAATTAGTCTCATAAGTAGGAAGTGGAGCCCAACATGTGTTTTTGGTTTGTCTTCAAAACCAACCACCAGCAGGTTGCCAAACAGAAGACACCCCCCAAATCCCCCAATCCCCCAAATCGGACCCTGCCAAACTGCCTCCAACGGAATATGCGAGCATTAGGCTCAGCGAATAGCTGGAGAATGCCACATGTGCGTCCACTGGATTGGCCTCAGGTCGGCTCCCCCTTCTAAATTGACCCACCCGTCACAAGACCGCTGTAGGGCACAAAGCTAGGCTTTGCAGTAGAGTAAGTCACCATACTGTGGATAGACGAAATGAATTTTGCACCACTTTGAAACCATGGTTGAAGCCATTGCTTGTTGGTTACAGGCAAATCATCATTCCAGGGTTTCCTATCGTTTCCTAGGTGGTGCAGAATTTTCGTCCATCCACAGTATGTCTTGTAAAGGACTGAAATCCACATGTCTACCCACGGTTTAAGTCGAGCTCGGAGCAACCCTGAGCTGTTACTATGCCTTGTGCAAAAATCCTCGGTGGAAGGGAAAACCAAGAAGTTCAAAACCCACCCCCCACAACAGCATCCCGGGTTCTCAAAGCGTCCACACAGGACCTCTGACCTCTCCCGCGGATCAGCAGTGGCAACGAGGGAACCGAGGCCTGGATTGGGCACGAGGGGGCTTCGGACAGCCTCATCCTTTCGGTTGAGAAAGCAGGCTCCGAGAAGGATTCGTAGACTGGGTATAGTAGAAAAAAACAAAAAAAACTACATCAGGAACATGTCACTGGGAAAAAAAAGGGATAATCGGATAAGCGCAAGAATGCCCTGGCCATTGCCCACACCCCACTAATCAAACCCTCGGCACCGGCGTGCGCATTCCCCTAATGCCCGTAGAATGAGAACAAGATATCTAAACAACGGGACAAAAAGTACCCACGACTAATTTGATCGACTCTACTGTAACATTATATGAATTGTTACCATATCAGTAAATGGGAGACCAAACATCCAAACCAACCAGAAGAAAAGCTGAGGTTCCTTATCAAAAGAGGGAGCCAAAGAAAGGGAGTGTCCTCCGTTTCAGCATGTTTCAAGACCTGAAGCCAAGTCCAGTCCCACAGTCCCGCATCCGCCTGAAAAAAACAATTTGTGTCCCCGGCGCGGCACGACTCACTCACTTGCCCGGGCCAAAAAAAAATAACATGACAGCAACTCTTTCGGGAAATCGGCTCCTAAACCAGGCGCGCTGGCCCACGTGCCCAAATGGCCCAAATGACAAACAACAAGTCATCGCTTGGAATCACGACTTGAACTAGCCGCCGGCATGGGAAAACCACAAAATATGTTTTAGGCAATTGAGTTTTGTGGTCTCTTTAGGGTACCGGGGCCTAAAAACGAAACACCCAAACAGAAAGACCGGCAAAGGCACCCCCCCCACCCCCCGATGATTCTCCAAGGCCCCTACCAGGCAAGCCAGCTCGTGCAGGGATGTGAAAAGCGAAGCGTTGCGCACCAGGATCGGCCTCGCTGGCGGGCGCGTCTCTCGTTTTTCTCGCCTCCGAAGCGAGCAAAGTGCTTGTCCGGGTTGGCTGACATCGCTTTTTCATCAAGTGTGACAAGTGACAAGAATTGAACCATGAGCAGGGAGGAGCCAAACCGAAAGATCCGCTGGCATCGGCACAAGTTATTGTGCAAATTCAAGAAAGCAAAACGAGGGATACCCAAGAACCGACAGCAGGCGTCTCATGTCTGAAGGTGGATCTCCAACGCCCACCCCAACCACCCGGAAACAGGAAAATAGCAGGTGTTTGCTCCCCCCTTTGACATGGCTGAAAAGTGTCTTAAATCAGGGTTTGCATCTTTTCAGCCCTCCGTTTTGGAAAGATCAAGGTATCCAACGTAGAAATGCTTGGGGGGCTGGAGGGGTAACCCCTTTCGCCGGAATCCACCGCGGCCTCAGCACCCACAAAACAAACCAAGAGGGGGAAAGGGTGGGGCAAGATTTGGGCGGGCAAATCGGCGTGGCGCTCATGGCTGACCTTTAGCTCTATAAGCAGCATCCAGTGCCACTTTCGGGGAGGCAACCATAATGTGTCCACCGTCTGAAACAGACAACGCTACTGTGGATGGACAAATTCCTGCACCAGTTAAAATGGATGAAACCTCATAACTAGAGGGATAAACCACATGCCGATGCACAATTATGTCCGTCCACAGTATCGGTTGTGGGGCAAGCCCTTGCCACCGAATCAAAGCCTTTTCGCTATTGCCAGGTGTCCGGTGGTGGCTTGGTAGGATGGACATTTGATATGCCATCCATCACGAAGGGCATGACCCCACGTTGGCAACATACTGTGGAGCTTCGGAAACATTTGTTGGTCGTACTCTTTTAGCACTCTTTGAGCACTTTCCAAAGCAAAACACAGGGGATCCAAACACAGGCAGTTTACTAGATATAGCTTCTCTGGTTTCAGTGTAGCACCTGAGGCCACGGCTGACTCAAAAAGTTCTTGAAGTGAACAATGGGCGGCTGCCACATTGTCAGGTACCTATCTGACTCCTTCGCCTGCGCAAGCCGGCATGTGAGCGAGAATTCGGACACGTGTTTGTGTGGGGCCCGGAAAGTGGTGGGGACCCCTCGTGTCCTCTCGAAACTAACAATGGACCACCAGTAATTTTACAGTCAGCCAGCAGTGACAGCGTCGCGTTAGTTGGAGCTTTCCAATTGCCAAACCATGGAAATCCAACTGCGTATGAGCACACAGACACATTCAAGCCGCCTCAGGTTTGCTTCAGCATGTTGGCTTCACCTGGTGCCAAGTAGAGGGTCTATTTGGTTCCATTTTGGGACATCCCACTCCTTGTGGGTGTGAATTGAACACTATCAAGCAAACCGTCGTCACTGTGGATGGACGCAACCCTGCACCACCCAAGAAAGCCTGGGATGATGATTCCCATGTATACACCACCAAACAATGACTTCCAATGGATTCAAAGTGGAGCAGGTTTGTGTCCATCCCCACTATTTTTCACCCGGCAGAAAGCCGCCTTGAGGTAGTGATAGGTCAGGCCCTCGAAGTAGTTTTCATGGAGCTCCGAGTCGTCATCAATGACCTGAGGTGCCGCGCCCGAATGATGGATGAACCTGTCAACATCGGGCTGGGGGATCTTTACAATCTGTGGTATTGTAGCAACACACTTTGCATTGTTGCAGCCCCCTGAAAATGAACAGAACCAAAAAGACAAAAACCAACACACTTGCCAACACAGTGGAGGGACTGTCCGAAAGTGCTGGTTGATTTGTGGACAAGAAACACAAATCATTGTATCTGACACGTGTTGTTCCCCCGAGAAAAATATATAACAAAAGAAAATGGTAGTACTACTACTACTACTACTAATAATAATAATAATAATAATAATAATAATGACAATCACGCCTCTGATCGAGCACTTGGCCCCAGGCAGTGATGACCACTCTGGGGTCGTCCACCTCGTAGCCTCGCTGGTCCCGCAGCTCCTGGCTCCGGGGGCGCCGAACTCCCGGACTCAGTTGGGACAACCGTTGCGCCATTTTGGAGGACACCCATTAAAAAAAGACACACACCCAGTTTAACTGTCATTCTGAGTTGGTGGCACTTGGGCTCCCTAAGATTGGTTCACCTCTTGCAGAGGTGAATCTCCAAGAGTGGCCATAAGGGCGGTTAGCCTCACACAAAAATGCGGAAACCTCCCAAAACACGCGGCTTTCCTTTGGTCTCCCGAGTTCACTCAAGAAACACATATACACACACAATGCCTGGAGGGACAACCTGAAAGGCGACAAATTACTAGGGTCCCAGAAGAGAAGGGACCTTGTGCTGCTGGCAAGCTCACTTCCCGTGCTGCACGCTCGCGCCCAAAGCTGCCAGCCCCAAGACCTGAAGGCCTAAGGGTATTGTCCAGCACCAGACTCCAAAAAGCCCATAACCTAAAAGAAGTCAAGCGGCTATGGCCCCAAAAACAGTGCCCCAACAGAAGGGCATTGAACAATGTCAGGGTGGCAACAAACTTTAGGTGTCCTTGCGGTTTTATGGTTTTCTCTCGACCGAATCTACAAAAGGATACCCTTCAACCAAACAACCAAATATATTGCTTTTTGCTTATGTCAAACAGAATCATACACACCACAAATAGACCGCCCCACGGTGTGCCATTCAGTCGCCTTGGCGAGGACCTGAAAGGCCCAACACTCGTTGGAGCTCTTCCCAGGCACATGCCCCGGCCTCGGATGCGACGGGGGCGACGGGGGCGGGTGGGTCCTGCCCCCAAAGGCCCAGGGGCCAGAAGCAGAAGTCACTCATACCCCGCTTTGCTCAGGCTATGATGTCAACCCTTTACCAAAAAGGAGGTACACGAGTACCCCCAAAAAAGCGGGTATTATGTGGAGCGGGGGGGTAGACTTGCATGATTCATTTGGGCAGAGTGGAAGCCTGCCAAGAGTAAGTCGCCGAAACTTCGCCCCATCCCCACCTGAGTCAGAAGGGTGATGGATTGCCTGAACCAATATTGTTGGGCGAATTTCGCATTTTTTACGGTTAGTTGGAGGGTCCAGGTACCTTTTCTACCCATGTCCTCCCTGTTTCAAGGCGGGACATGCGACTCTTCGGCCCCCTAATCCTGAGACGCCGGCATGTTCGGAGGGTGGTAGGCGGCCTCGGCAAATTTTGGCAAGCGGCAACCACCTCTCCCCCCCTCGCGCCCGCCAATTGGTTCCCCTACTTGGATGTTCGATTCGCCAAGTGAGCAAGTGGTGATCGCCACCTGGGGTTTTCACCTACTGAGTGAGTTGGGCCGCTAAGTAGCTTATAACAAAGGTGACTTGGCATCAAAGTCTTTTCGCTTGGAGGGCAAGGTAAATCATGCGAGGGGGGGACAAAACATTAAGAAGGCAAATAATACAGATCCTCCCTGTGAGATGCAGCCCTATGGCAATTGTGGCGTTGGCAAGCTGAAACTCAAGCAAGGCCGCAACAGATTGGAGCTGGGTCATAGCACTCGGGTGCTTTTTGGGTACGCCCCCCCCCCAAAAAGACTAAATAAATGGCGGCTTTCCTTTTAGTGTCCCTTTAAAATCACCACAAAAGGGTACCCTCAGAAAAGGCACACCCCTGTAGGTTGGTGCTATCGGACAAAACTTGCATAACATGATTCAACACATTTCAAAAGCGGTCTACCAACCGTTTAGTGGATTTCCACCGAGAACAACAGTGCACCCTTGTTGGGGTAACTAACTTTAAAGGGGGGTTCTCTACTTGGATGTTCGGCCAAGTCAGCAAGTGGTTAACCACCTGGGGTATGACCCCTCATGACAAGGTTAACCCACATAGGGGGACTTTTGAGTTGCCAAGGTTGTCAACAACTTACTAACTTGGCGAATCGAGCACCCAAGTACGTACTCCAAACAAAGACTGAAAGACGCGCTTTTCCGGGGTCACTCCCCGGGTTTGGCCTTTGGCGGCTGAAAAAAAGGGGGCCCCTGCCGTGATGAAGGCGAACTCCCCGGCGTACTCCTCTTGAAGCTCCCTGGCCTGGACACGCGAAACCTGGGGGACACGATTCTCCGCAAAGTCACACCTCCTGGAATCGTGTGTGTGTGTGTCTTTTTGAGAGCTGGTACCCCTTCTTTTTTTTACAGGCAAACCAAAAGGAAAACACAAAATGGTGGGCGCTGACCTCAGATTGATAAACCCATCCTATTAATAGGGGGATGGGCCGTGTGAACCTTGTTGTTGCGCAAGGATTCACTACTACACTTGGACCATGACAGCATCGGCAGCAAGACCAACGCTCGCCAGGAAACTCCAGGAAACTCGCGAGTGGATGAGCAAAGGCAGCTTCGTGGCTCAGTGGGTGCATCCCACGAGAGAGGGGTTCATTCATCCCATGCATGATTTTGTCCATCCACAGCATCGGTTGCTTTGTCATAAGGGGAATCCCTTTGTGTATGACAGCAGGTCTTGAAACCTAACACGTGCCACAGTCCAAACTCTCAATCTGACCATGATCATGTTTCTTTTCGGACTCTTTGTCATCGGCTTGAAGTCCCCGCCCACTAAGGGTTGATGACCCTGCTCTCTCTTCTGCTTTCTGCAATCTGAAAACAGATTCCCGTGTGAACCACCCCAAAAGCAAACCAACTTGGACTTAGCATGACTTAGCCCTTTGCCCCTGCGGTGCTTGTGGAATTTTCTTTCCGGAAGGCCTTGACACGTTGATCCACGGCACCATCCGGACACCCACATAGAATTGGCAGCCAAACGCTCGGAACAATCAACCAAAGATGGCGGGAGAGACCAAGGCTATGTTCCCCTTTGGTACCACCCCTACCATCGCCTCCATAATGGAATTACATAGGGCTCCCTAGCCTGGACCTTCCAACTCTGCCCAAATTATGTCACAAGGATGCTCAAACCACCGCAATCCCATGGCCAAGGCGTGACCCACGTGGGAAGGGCCACGTGTCACGTGGGACCCCCAGCAAATACGGGACCCGCTGGAAGGTGAGTTTCGTTTGGAAAGCTCTTGAGGAGCCCGTGCTTGGCCAGGAAACTCACCTGGAGTAGCCGTTAGGACCCCAGCAAAAAAATAATTGTTTTTGCCTGGTGAATGGAAAACAAAGGGGACCCCAAAAAAGCAAAAATGGAAAAAGGGGAGCTAATTCTGGGGAAGTTTCTAGCGACCTTCTTGTGTGGTTTTTGAACCCTTGCCACTTCTTCAGACTGGACTCAGGGGACTCCAGGGGCAAGTCTTGAATGCTGCCTTTTCTGCCTTTGCCGGCGGCGGCAAAACCCCACGCGTGGCGCGGGGTGGGAATGCTTCAATGACGTCCCATCCAAATGCAGTCGCTCGCATAGGTGTCCTTTTAGGGTTTCATAGATGGCCCTGGTAGATGAGTAAACCACCAGGTAAACCAGGGCCACTATTTTTCCACCAAAACAACCAAAAAGGACACCTATGGTCGCTCGAAGTCTCGAAATCGCCCGTCTCGCGCCACGCGACGACGCGCGACGAGCGGCGAGCGGCGCCTTGTCCTGGGCCTCCACCTCGCGCTCCTCGAAGGCGAAGCAGACCGCCAGGTTGGTCCTGAGAGCGAGCCCTGAGCGCGCCGAGCCGCTGGAGTCGATGCGGTCGACTGAAGTGGGAATCGTGTTGCTTGTGATTTTTTTGTTGGGGGTGGGGGGGTGGGGGGGAACTTCTTGGGGGTTGGAATGAACCGGGAGGGGACCAACTCTTCAAACAAAAATCAGGAGGGAAACTGGGGGGAAGGAGTCAATTGAGTCGTGAACTTTGAGGGGAGTTCAGTTGAAATTGGGGGTAAGTGACGGCATATGGGTGGGAGTGTCTCTGTTTAGGGGAACTCCCCACAAAATGGGGTGGTTTCCCTGTTGGTTTCCCCAACCCAGCGAAAGACACACCCCAGTCCTTGGAACATGACTGATTTGGGGGCCCCTTGAAGTTCCATCGTGAAACGCGGAGGGGACCCTCAACTTTGCGCTTGCCAGTTCGCGTGCCGTGCACGATGCCGAAATGCATGCCTTGCGATACCAACGTGGTGTCTGTGCCTCTGACTTTGTTGCTGGTTCTCAGCTGGGAATGAGGGAATGACCCTATAACCCAATTCATATGGTTTCCTTTAAGGGAATCTACCAGCAAACTTTGTCACTTTCAATGATTCCAAGAGGCAAGACAGACAGTGGGATTCTCTAAACCCCTTCAACCCTGGCCCATGGCGTTTTGGAGTCACAGAAGTCAGGCATTCTGGAGAAATCGCACGCGTCAAATGTCTGAAACATCAAATCTGACTGTGGGCCTCTGCACAACCCGTAGTTACCTTCTGGTAGAATGGGACTCAGAGGCCCAGTGGCCAGGGGAAAAAATAGAACAGTTTTAATCCTTTTTGGGTTGGTTGACTTTAACAGGGGACCACTGAGGCAGAAACCTCCAGCTGGGACCCGGAAGTCCGGCCCGCAAGCCTCCAATCTGATGCTGTGGTCGGAGAGGCCATGGATTTTTCGGACTCCGGAATGCAACATGGGCCCAACACATGGGCCCAAGCGCTTCAACAAAATCCGAATCCGTGTCCTGCAAAGGCCGTAGTTCATGAGGGCCTCGGGGATCAGGGAAGCGGTGCAAGCTGGCCAATGAAAACCCAAGCATGGTGAGGTGGCCTTCTTGTGAGGATGCTAGTCTTTCAAAACCCTCCACATCCATTGTTGGAGAAAGGGTAATTATTCGTTTGATCTGACAAAGAAGCTAGGAAAAGTTCGGAGGCCCTGTGTGGATAAGAGCAGAGAGGCCTTGCGAATCGTAGATCACTAAGCCGTAGTTCTCAGGCGACCCTTTTTTGCCCAGAAATTGGCAAGTTGCCGCTGAACGAACGGACGGAGTCGCAGACACGTGCCTGAAAACTCAGAAAGTTGGAAAACAAAACGGCCGCCAGCTTGCGGCAAATCCAGTAGGCACGTCGGGCCACCCACAAGTAGAGGGTCAAGTGGAGGGTTGCCATGCAGCTTTCCTTTAGACTCCCTCCAGGGCCCACAATCTGTGGACTCAAGAGGCCAAGCACGCAATGGCATATGTCCCTAGAACCTGTAAACAGAGGTCTGGCAGAGAGGGAGGCAACGCAGCCCAAGGATAGCTTGAGGAGGCTGGATTCGCGTTTGAATGATTTATGAGACAAGTCAGTTGCCAATCCAACTGGGCAGAACGGACTCTTTCAATTTGCTTTCTCGCCCCCGGAAAAAGTGGGAAAGTATTTTCCAAGTAGTAAACTCGAGTCCCTTTAAATCCAACAAGGGATTATATATATATATATATAAGTATTCATATCCGCAAATGGAAGCTCTTGGTTCTTCCATCCGTACAGGTCCCGGTCTCTGCACGCTGCGAACGTGCAAGGGAGAGGCTAGTGCTTGCGGCTTCACCCACAGAGCCCCTTCTGAGGGAAGGGGTCTCTTCCGATATGTTTTTGTTGTTTTTGTTGTTTTTTTGTTTTGGTTTGACCATGGGCCAACATCTAAACATGTTTGTCGTGACCCCGGTGTTGAGTCAAGCAAGGAAGTTCTATGAGCCGGCTCCATTGGTCTCCCAACCAAACCATGGCCAATGTCATCAATTCACAGGACACCAACAAGTTTTCACTTGGGAAAGCAAGGAAGAGGCACATATGGTTTGCACCAGATCCTAACGGCCCTAACGCCTGCGATTGGCTCAGCCTTTGGATTCCGATCGCCTGAGGCGCTGGCATGCAAAGCCATCCGCAGGCATTCCATGGGTGTCTTGTAGGTGGGGATCATCACAACGTGAAGCCTAGCAAATGCTGCAAGTCGGACGACATTGTGCTTTCCTATTATTAACTAAGCGATTTTTGTTTTTTTAGAACGGGATCCCTACAATTGAGTGGGTTTACTCTAGGGATCTCATCAGATTTGACTTTTTGTGGTTGACTGATGGAATTATGCTTTCTAACATTTGCCCGGAACCGCAGCCTTCTCAGCAAACAGTCCGATTGAGGGTGCATGCAGCCTCCAACAGTCTGCACTTCCAGGTCGACTCCAGCTACAAGCTCTTGGCTTTCAAACAGAACAATCCAGCCGATAAGTCTGGCTAAAGTATGTTGATTGGTCCTGTGCCTTTGCGTATTAGTGTTGCCCAACATGGGGACACCAACACAAACCCAACGAGGGTCCAGTGTATCTCACAAGCCGTATTGGTTTGTGGTCAGGCTATTCAAGCTCGCACTCCATGTGTATCTCACAAGACAAGTGGGTGTGAAACCCAAAAAAATGGTGCCGTCCTGTTGATTTCTCCTTTTGTGCCACCCCAAAACGGGTAGCCTCAAAACCATACGCCTTCACTCCGGGGTCCGGGAGGTGTTGAGCGGCAACCGAGGCTCCAAAGTGAGTCTGGGCGCCCCCGGCAAGTCATGCCACCTAGGTCCGGTGCAATGGATTCATGAGTCATGTTGATTCATATCTCGTTCTTGGAGTACTGAGTCCTATTGTTGATTCATAATTATCCTCTTCTTTCGCTTTAAATATCTTCCAGCAACAGTCAATTCCACAGGTTACATTGCATTTCCCCAGCTGGCTGTCCTGCAACAAGCCGGAAGCTGGCATCCTATAAAAACTCCCATGAGCAAGCCGCACCTGCGAAACACGAACCTCCGAGTGCTGGGCTCTTCTTCACGTTAAATCTGCATTGACGTCTCAAACCCTTCCGCGAAGCCTTCCGCGAAACCTTGAGCCCAACTTGGTGGTGAAGGTAGAACACGGTCCGTGAGTGTGCTAAGAAACTTGAAGCAAGAAACTAGATCCTAAAATGGTCCAGACATTAACTGTTTGAGACTCTCAAACACTCCAAAACTCAAAAAAGCACGTCTCCCCACTGAAACTAACATGAACCGTGGGGACTTCGGTGGCTGTCACTATGGGGAGGCCGGGGATGGGTACCCCCGCGAGGTTTCCCGTCTTGCGCCAGTCCTTCTCCTGCAGTCTTCTGTCAATCACGCAATCTTTAGTTTAAACGAGCTCGAACCTAAAACAGGCTGCTGGGAGTTCGTTTCGGTTTTCGGTCGCTGGGCCATGTGTGGGAACTCGAGGCGTGATTCAACCCCCGCAGGGCTTCGCTGAACCCGTCTCGTCTTTTATGAGCCACCCTAAAAAAAAACAAAAAACGGAAAACCGCTGCGGGATCTCTCAATAGACGAGGCCCCAATGCCAAAATTTCACAAAACACCAGGAAATGGAAACGCCAACCTTTGGGGTTCCCAGATTCCGAAGGCTTCCGTCCCCGATGTGTCACTCCCGATCCTCTGGTTTCCCTTGGGGAAAAATAGAAGGGAAGGCGACAGGAAACAAGCCACCTCAGGTCATCTACCAAACCGCCCCCTCACTCCAAATACTCGCGTTTCAAAAAAAAGAAGCAGAACCAGGCTTTCTATAGTAAGTACCTCCTGTTCTGACAAACCCTCTCTTACCCAACGAGGAACAACTGGGATCATGAATAATATCCCGACCCCGGCCAAGATAGCCAACCGTGTTTTAACCCACTACTGACAGGCTTAACCCCACTTAGGGAGACTTAGAAGTGGCTTACAACCGGCTAACTTGGCGGATCGAACAGCCAAGTCGTCTGGCCGAAACAAATTGAACCATTTGCCCAAAGGACCCCCCAAAAAGATACTGGGGATTCACCTTTCGGGGGCCGTAACTTATCAAACAGGGCGATGAAGGACGAGTCCGAGGTGCTGCATCTCGGCCACGGAGTTTTGGGCCCAAACCTCGAAGCGATCAAATCAGTGAGGGGCAGTAAAAGGGTGTCGTTTTAAGGCTGGACCTTCCAAAATGGGTGGGGCGTCCTTTGGTTTCTCGATTTTTTTGTTTAAAAAAAAACGGTCTCGGGAATCATTCCGCGAGCGAACATAAGAGGAAGCTTCACCATGGGCGAGGTCGCATCTCGCATTCGGTCGCGAAAGCTCGCCCAGTTGGAGGCTAGCAAATTGTATGGGTATATATATATATATACATATCAATATGTATATATATATATATATATGTGGTCCAGCTGTAGCACTTGTTCACAGCAACAAGCGCTGGACACAATACTTGCTGCATCTTGTTGCAGATTCTTTCTTCGCGCGCTGCTGCAAGCGAGCCAAACAACAATTGTGGACATCATCAGATAAGAAGTACACAGAAACTTCACGTCAGCCTCGAGCCCTGACTTTGATACTCTGCAATGTGAACATTCTCCTCAGGATCAGATTGACAGCCCGGGATGGTCAACCCCATGAATTGACTTAACCTCAACTGGCCACCTCAAAGAAAACTCGAGCACGGGCATATGGGCTTGTCTCTAAATGGGGAACCCCAAAGCTGGGTGGTTCCTCCTTGGTTCGCCTGCAAAGCTCTCAAAAGGGTACCGTCAAAAAAAGACGAGCCACCCATATGATGACACTCCTCAATGATGGTGAGGCAGCCATCCACGTGGGACAAAGGGTCCCTCCCGCATTTGCTACTGAGCTGGTTGGATTCAGAAGGAAGCCCAAGACGTTCCAACGAACCTGAGGAAAAAGATGTTTCACGAGCTCGCCCAATAAAATCCCCTCGGAACCTGGAACTCGCCCAAAGACGAAACCTCCGACCCCAAGGAAGCCAATCGTGCCGCTTTTGGTTTTCAGGGAGAAGGAGTCAGGCACGACCCATCTCGTTTCACCCTCGGCTTCCTGCCCGAGTGGGCGGTGGCATGGTCCGCTCGATCCTCGGCCGTCGAGGATTTCATGTGGATACGGATGGATCGAATGTATCGTGCGTGCCCCCGGACAGAATAACTTGTGGTTGTCCAATTATTTCTGATGCCCTCAACCTCTTAACCTCCCACAAGGGAGCTAGGTCCTCCAGTAGAGAGGTTTGAATAAGGGTGCCTTTTTTTTTCTGTAGTCTATTTTAGTAGGGGAACCCTCCCCCAAAAAAAAACACGGTAAAAGGGCACCTAGCTGGGGGACCTAGGGAGACAAAACATGTGTGCTTGTTTTTGACATGTGGCTTCCAAAGAGTCGACTCGTTGTTACTCCAGATGCGAAGCTTGGCAGCCGTCTGGTTTTATGGGAAGGCCATGTCCTCCCCAAACTGACAATAAACCAGCAAACCAACCATTTTGTCAGTCCAGCAACTGTTCTTGCACATCATAAGATGCACAGTTACAAGGATATGTTATAATGATATGAT